GGAGCGGGTTCAGGTACATTCAGGAGCCGGTGCATGCCCAGTTCCTGCCAACAGTCCGTAACAGAGATGTGACCGATCGCCCAAGCGGCTAATGAGCCGATCTTTTGGTGAAGAGGATAAAAAAAAAGGAAAAGTAATCAGAGATGTTACCGATCACCCAAGCGGCTAATTAGCCAATCAGTGGTGAAGAGGATAAAAGTAAGTAAAAGTACTGTTAACAGTTTTTGTGCACCCATCAACTGATTGAATCACCCAACAATTCTTCTCAGTTTAACTTTGTTTACAGTGGAGTGAACATCCAGTTTGTTGGTCTTTTGAATATTTTTGCATTTTTACATTAAAATTATAGGTCATTCTGAAATTTAGTTTTCATATTGATAATATACAGTGCAGAAATTACCCGTATATCTCGGCCTACAAGGCGACGGGGTGTATAAGACGACCCCAAAAATATCCATTTAAAATGTAGCTTTTGAGCCCTATTCGCTGTACAAGACCGGTACCCCAAATGTGACACTTAAACATTGGGAGCTTACTGACCCAGTAGTCCTTTACCAACCATCCCATTGACCAGTGCTGTTTACACATCCATGGTTTTTTAAAATAAGGCCAATTCACTTCAAGTAATGGCATCAAATGTTACCGGTTATATTCTTATAGGTTATATTCTTATAGGATTAATTGCTTTGATAACTGTTGATTCACTAACCAATGACTTTTTCCAGTTCCTATATGCGTTGGTTATTGGGGTACACCTGTACTGTATAGTATTTGATAAGAGAGATACATTCCTAACAACATAATATATTACCTTTGAGTGACATATGATGGATTGATTTGGCTATTTGTACAATAAGACAAATTTGGCGCCAAGTGCGACAAGGTACCAAGCGCCATAAATCACAACCGAGAAAAACGCTCTTAAAGTTTTTTCAAGATCAAAATGACATAACTTTTGAACCAATAAAGATAATGAGTTAACTCAAGTGGCAAAGTGTAGAGCTCTTAAAACTGGTTTCACAGATATGAAAGTCATATTAATTGAAAAGATTGTTTATAGTAAAAATTGCATTGTTTTTGATGGGAAGTGTTTGCAGTTTGAACAATATTGTTGAGGTATAATTTTCTTTACATGGAAGTAATAACGTATTAAGACCACACCAGAAAGTCAAAGGTCCTTGTACTGTTTGCATGAAAGCAAACAATGCAAAACAAGCCCTAGCTCCCACCCTCCTTGCCCACCCTCTTCTCTGTTTTGTTTATTTTTCTCTCAATGGCCTTCACTCCCTCCTTTCTGCCAGTTGGAAATAAAAAATAAGAGATTCAAGTGTTATTACATGGCATTCCAATGACATTTTTATAGAAACATGGTCTCACATTAGTTAAGAAACCGGAAAATAATGAGTTACCGGTACTATGAGCGAGAGAGGCTACTATTGGGGACCGCAGGCGCTTGTCCCCTTTTCCCCCTCAGTCTGCCTCGAGGCACAGATCACATAATGTAGAGAGACTTTTACCTACCTTCACTAATATGACTCGCAGCCTTACAAATATTGTGCCACTGGGACAGTTTGTGTTTCTGCAGATAGAGGAAAGGTTGGGGAATACATATAATAATATAACCCAACTTTGGGGAGTGGCGCTTGGTACCTTGTTGCACTTGGCACCTCAGCTGATTAATAAATAAACCAGGGTATTTGCAGGTGCATTATATACTACAGTATTATTTATTAAGTACTGAAGACATGTTGTGGTAAGCGTGACGACATGGTGAGGGATGGTGCGGGCAATCAGCTGTTTGCGCTAGGTAAGCAAAGCCGCTGGAATCTAGTACAACGCAGTAATTCATCTAGGGTTGAGTGTGGGATTTTTGTTTGTGAAATTTGATTATTTTATGATAGTTTTATTGACCGAGCACCAAATTAACCTAAATTATATGGGAATTATAGTGAAATTGCATACTCTCATCATAAATTGATCAAGAGCTAACAAGTGTGTGAAGTGAATTGTCCTCTCAGTCCAGCCAGCACTCCCTCCTTCCTCCTCTGCCACCTCCTCTTTACATGCAAGCCCTATACTGTATAAAAACTGAATAATGTTTTCTTAATTTTCTTATTTTGGTGTTGGAACACTTACGTGATTTAAATGTCTGCGGTGAGGTATACATTAGTCAGGTGAGCTATGATGTGTTACCATACTGCCTGCTACTCTCAGATACACTCAGTTTCCCACACTGAATGTACAGTACCCCCACTCTCTTAATTTTTCTTTTATATTTTTATATTACTGTACAGTATATAGTATTCCCTTTATTTGTAAGGCAAAAACCCATGAGATGACTTTTCTGCCAATCCTGTGGTAACGTACTTATAACAATTGCACAGCACACAGTTGTGTGAGAGGTGACCGACATATTTTGGTTTGGTAAAAAGTAACACTTGTAGAGCACTTTTGTTACTTGTTATTTTTACATTCTATTATACATCTGCTTTTAACACTATTTATGCATCATATTTGGGTCCACACAAACATAGTATAAAACAGTGGATGATGCAGATGACGTATATGTGAAACAAATGACATACAGTAAGATCTCATATTTCGCGCGCTTTCATTTCTCGTTTTTGAATTTCGCGAGCATTACCCAATGTATCCAAGTCTTATATTCGGTGTAAAATATCGTGAATTTCGCGAGATCCTGCCAGCTGAATGCTGACCACCGTCTTGATGACGTCACAGCCCTCATACCAGCTACAGTGGGGTATGCTATAATGAATGGATTCTACTACGAATATTCCTATAACGAACGGTTTTACCTATAAAATTGAGAATGCTATAATGAACGAAACTCCTACAACGAACATTAATTTTTTTTTTTTTTTTTTTTACTAATTTATTGTTTTTTTATTACAGGTATTAATGATGTTCTTTATTTCAGGGGTTTAGATGCATATTTATGCATTTTTTTACAATTTTTACAATTTTATATTATATTTTTCAGTGTTAAGTGGTTGTATTTGGGGGCCTGGAACGGATTAATCCTATAACGAACAAATGCTATAACGAACAAGGTTCTAGAACCAATTAGATTCGTTATAGAATGATGAATAGGGGAAAGCTGTTTGTAAAACACGAACTTTTGCCTATAAATGTTGGCTATAGGGAGATTCCATCCTCAATGTTTTGTTCCACCCTCAACGTTTTAAGCGTGGTGCGGGGTTATGCAATGTTTACAGCTCAAGTTGAACATCACATGTTCAATTGATTTGTGTCTTTTGTTTATGAAGTGTTTTTTGAGAGGTACTCTGTAAATTTCGTTTTTTATTCTCAAATTTAGCTGTTATGCATAAATACTGTATGAAAAGAATAAGTAAAAAGAATGTTTCGCAGTGAGGACTAATAACAGTTTACACCAGCGCTCTCTGTTTACATCCCGTGATCAGTTAAATCGTGCGATTTCTGTCAATTACTTAATGATTTTCGCTGTTTTCTCCAATTTTGTTGTGTTAGCGATGAATACGGAAAGACAAGGTGAGAAGAATGTTTCCAAGAAGTGTTCTGGTGATCGAACTGCCGGTGGTGAATGTAAAAGAGGTTTACAAGAACACAATTATCACGTTGTAGCTCAAGCCATCTTTGTGACCGCCCGGGCTGTTATTGTGTGGTTTTTTGGGTGGTGATACCACCTGTCGAGTCAAGATAATGGCCTCTACCTCTGCTGGGGGTCCTACTGGTGCTGGTGGGGGTGGGACAGACCCACCTAAGTGGCCAAATAAAGAAAAGGAGAAGCGGGACTATCATAAAGGAGTTAAGTCTGCCAAGTACTCAATGCAGGATAAGCAGCATGTGATTAAGTTACTTGAGGAAGGCCTAAAAACTAGTTTCCGGAAAGCACAATCAAGTCAATAAAGGCAGAATTTGTATCATTTGGAGGTTATACAGTAAATGGGAAATCAGAGGTTGATGTAGAGTGGGCAGTCTATATTGTTATTTTTCCTATTAGTTCATGTATTTGCATTTGGTGAATTTGAATTTGGTGCAGTTTTCCAGTCTATATTACTCGCAAAATACAAGATCTTACTGTATAAGAAAAATTTCTTTCTTTATTAGTTCGTGATGAAATCGCGAATCACAAACTCGTGAATGGCAAGGGTCTACTGTATGTGAAATGAGGTATATCGGTACAACGTATAATGAGGACCTCCTGTACTAAAAATACTTCTGGGCGATACCAGGAGTGAACCACAGAGTTCAGCTCACCGGCTGACTCAGATGTGTGAGGCTGCCACACGTGTGTGTATGCCACACGTGTGTGTGTATGCTGTGACGTCGCATTAGGTCCATACGGAGGGAGCATGGTGTCAGCTGGCTGGTGAATGGTGATGTAGTTACAGCAGCCCACTGCCTCTACACACCCAGGTGTGTGAAAATTTTGATATTTGAGATAATTCAGCAAGATCAGAGCCCCTACCATGCCCGATCATTGAGGTTTTAGTGTACCGTATTAGAATATTGTAAAGAATTAAGAACAGGTTAAAATAGATAAACTCATGGCTGAAGAGATGTGTGGAGTTAACAGAATCACATCCTGTATAATACTCAAACACCAAGACAAATACACCGCAAATATGTTTATCTCTAGATGATGAAGATTTACAGTAATGGTTAAGTAGTGCTTGCCTGACAACCATTTTATTTGATACAATTAACCTAATGGGCATGCTTACATGATTACTCGGCATATGCAAGAGAGACAATTATTGTTTGCCAAGTGTAGCAAATCCTTGGCCCATACAGAAGATGCCTCTACGTAGAAAAAATGAGGACAAATAGAAATAATGACAACAGCAATGGAGAATGAAAGTGCATAGCAGAGCCCAAAATGCCCGGGGCTATCACATCAAGTAGAGTAAAGAAATGTCAAAACTAAACTGTACTGTACATAAAACATGGAGACAGACCACAATAGACTATGTTAGATATACAAATATTGTACTCACCTTCTGGAATTGGTAAAGCTTCTGCTGTTTGATGTAGTCTCTCTAACAGCTCTTTGTGCGGTAAACTTTGTACACTTCCTGGCGTGTTTAGCACTCCAGGCGTGGACCCAAATTCCGAAGTGCTCATAGTTCCAGGCAGGCTGTTCACCATCCCTGGAGTGCTATTAGCTGTTACTGGTGTGTTTAACCCTACTGGAGTGTTTATTGATCCTGGAGTGCTCATCATCCCTGGGGTACTCAATACTCCAGGAGTGCTCAGCATACCAGGAGTGCTAAATGCTCCTGGAGTGTCAACTGTCCCTGGAGTGCTAACTGGTCCTGGAGTATTACAGGAGACTTGAGGAACACCTGAGACTGGGCTCTGTGGTCCACTAAATCTTGAGAATGGTGAGGCTTCCCGTGGGGAACCTCTTGGTGTGCCCTGTGGGGTCTGCCCAGTAGGTAGCGCTTCAAGGGATGACACATCACATGGGATACGTGGTAAAAGACTAAAGCTTAATTTTTCCCTTTGTGCAACATGTTCTGTTCTTAGATATTGGCCAGGTACTAGGCCTAAGCCTGTTGCAAGTAGATTTTGATCAATACCCTCATTACTGTTTGAGTTATTCCCTTCTTTTAAACCATTTATCATGAATGGATTAAGTCCAGCATTTATTAATGAAGAATACACGTCACTGTTTGTGTTTCCATTGGCTTTAGATTCACTTAACCCATTTTGACTATCAGAATTTTTTATATCCTCTTTCTTTTTTATTTCTTCCTTATTTTTTTCAGTTCGCTGTGGAATATCAGGCACTTCACTATCTTCTTCTTTCACCTGGCCATTTAGGGGCTTCATATCAATACTTTCTTTATCGTCACTTTCAATAAAATTATCATCTTTTTTTTCTATTTTCACTTCAGCTTCAGTTTTTACAATATCAGTATCCATCTTTTCCTCCTTCACAAATGGCTCTTCTTTTATTTCCCTCTTTGCCTTTCTCTCCTCTTTTATTTGTTTATCTTTTATTGCTCTGGCCTCCTGTAGTTTGGCATTTACCTCTTCAATGGAATATCCTACTTTTGCAGCAGAAGGAGGCACAGAGATGGGAAAGTGATCACGTCCGGTGTAGTCACATGACGTGAGGCCCTCTAAGAAAGGACCTCCAGCATGTGGCAACACCCACATTGTGCGCTGTTGAAAAAATAATGGAACACTTTATGACTAGAATACTACACTAAGTTTATTATTAATGCACATCAACAAACCAAAAATGTCAAAAATAAGAAAATTAATTGACAACTCTCTAGGTTAAAAGTTACCCTGAAAAATATAAACTGAAGACTATCTTTTGATTTACTAATACTGTAGTTGTTTTCTCAAACCACATTTAAACTGTCATCCACAATGCAAGCTGACTTGCCACACTCATCTCCTGTACAAAGAACAACAATATTTAATTCCCCCATTCTTACTTACTATATTTCCTTTTCTAATTTTATTATAATTATTTCTTGAAAATAATTTTTAAGATACTGGGGGTATCATATTTGCTTTTTTGCAATAAAGTATGTCAAATTTTAGATACATCTACTTTTCATATCAATATATAGTATGTATAATTTGTTATATATATTTCAACTCCTATATTTTTAACATTCTTACATATTTCTGTAGAGAGTGAGTTATTTTACTCATGTGATGTAAATCTCATTGTGTACAAAAGTTATTTAAAGCTCAAAGGAAAATTGTAGAATCTTTGATACTTGAGGGCGATAGATGATTGGTTGCTAAAATTTAAGAAATGCTACTTAATATAGCAAGGAGTTTCATTTTACAAACTGTTTAAAATATCACAAATTCAGCATACCAACTACCGTACTAGCAGAAATATATTTACACCTTTACACATTTGGTATAAAGGTGCCCTGAAGGAGAAGAAACTTGAGAATTTTTGCTGCCACTGAAACCTGTGCATCCTCCTTGAACCTTCTTTCCCTGATGCATGTGCCTTTATCTCTACTCTTATTGAAAACTAAATATGCAGTACTATCTCCATTAGCCAGAATCTCTCAAACCCAGAACTCTCCGAAAGCCGGAATTGAAATTTTCTCGGAAAATCATTCCTAAAGCCGGAATTTTCCCGATAGCCGGAAAATTCCGGGAATGGGGTTTTTTTTTTCCAGGTTCGAGAGATGATGTCATGGGAAATTTCTGGAACTTCCGAGAACATTTTTCTGTTACCCAGAAAATTCAGGGGATGAGGGACTTTTTCTGACTTTGAGAGAGTCGTCTTGTTACCCGGATATCTCTCATTCTCGGAAGTGCTCTGCACCATTTGTTCCAGCTCATGGAGATATCACTGTACAGTATATTCCCATTTATATATTTATTAACAACCCAGTCTGGGAGCTTATCAGTGTCCTTGGTATTCTGGCAACTTATCAGACACTTAAAAGGAATTACCTTCACCAAAAGCCAGAGAGTTCTATCCACATTTTGGTGCCTGACTCAAGTTTGTGAAGAAGATATTCTGGTGTACAGTATAGTCTCGGTTTACGCGGATTTTGTACACGCGGTTGGTCATTTACGCGGCAACTGTCCAGACGTGCCAATTATTAGTTATGCAGTACCTTCCTGAATTTACACAGGAAGCGGCGCGGACAAGCTGCGCACTAGGTCACTTTTACGACACCGCTGACGTCAGATGACGTTTCGGACTGTGATTGGGCCACGCATCCTTACCACCCATGCATCCCCTCCGCCACAAGCTGTGATTGGTCTATTTAACCTTGCTTGCCCAGTCAACAAAACATTTCCGAATTCTTCACCCGCCACCCACCACAGCCAGCCCAAGTCAGTAATAGCGAGGATATGGACTTTGAGGGGTTTGACAAGGAGGCCCTGCTAGCCTCTGTGGTGGATAGTGATACAGGTGAGGGCCAATAATCTGCCCTCTGCCTCGGAACCAACCCCCCATCCACGTGTGCCCAGCCATCTCTTCTACTAACGTAAGTGTTAAAAAACCTAATATTATTGATATTTCTCTTAAGTATTAATTGTGTGTGTATACCATCATAAAATTAAGATGTTATTTATACTACAACGTACGCATTGTGTCGGAAAAAAGGTAGTCTGGCGGTCGGCCCAGTCTCTATTTCAATTAATCCCATATGTTCTGTTACAGTCGACCCATGTTAATTCGGACTAATAGGGGGGAAGGGTGTCCGTTTTAGCCGATTGTCCGAATTAACCGATTTAGGGGTTAATATTGCATTATATTTCAAAGTCATTGTTTTCGTCACGATTTTATCCCACTTTCCACTGTAATACGTACGTAATTTCCGGAAAAATATTACATTTCCGTGAATGTATTATATCAAGCACAGTATGAATAGAATACCATTGTAATATAACAGTATTTTAACCGAAAACTATTAAAAAAACTAATAACATCTCAAGAACATCGGAAGCTTAGGCAAAGTCTTTTGTTTTCGTCATGTATTTTTTCCTATTTTACATTGAAATACATCACGTTTCAGCAAAACTACTATTTATTTCCAAGAATATGTTCATTCAGGCGCAGTTTAGGTAAAATATACGATTATACGTGTGATGTAACAGTTTTTTAACTGAAAACGATTCGAAAAACACGTGTACCGTCTAGCCCTGTTCAAGGAGAGGACTGGGAGAAGCTGTTTGGTGCTGCAGACGATGACAAGGAAAATGATTTGGATGAATTTTAATTAAAATATTCAGAAATATGGTATCGTAGTATTTATTCAAGTCAATTAGGATAGAATATTATTGTAATACAACAGTTTTTTAACTGAAAACCAATCGAAAATCGATTACGGTAACATCTTTTGAACGAACGAAAGCGAAAGTCATTGTTTTCGTCACAATTTTATCCCACTTTCCACTGTAAAACGTACGTCATTTCAGCAAAAATATTACATTTCCGTGAATGCATTATATCAAGCACAGTATGAATAGAATACCATTGTAATATAACAGTATTTTAACCAAAAACTATTAAAAAAACGAGTAACTTCTCTAGAACATCGGAAGGTTAGGTAAAGTCTTTTGTTTTCGTCATGTATTTTATCCTATTTTACATTAAAATACATCACGTTTCAGCAAAACTACTATATATTTCCAAGAAATATTCATTCAGGCACAGTTAAGGTAAAATATACATGTGATGTAACAGTTTTTTACCTGAAAACAATTCGAAAAACACGTGTACCGTGTAGCTGATACTCAACAGCTGGTGGTGCGTCATGCGTCGTTGTAAACAATAGGAGGTTGAAGTAGATTACGGGGTATTATATTAAGTGTGAAATATCAAAAAGGTTTTTATTACCGGTATCTTTTGTAGATCAATGAGAACTGTGATACCGTATATGATATGATAAGTTAGCCTATGCTAAGAACTTCAACATAGACTACAGTAAACACGCTGTAAGGTAATTTAGCCTATTGTAAGTTGGTGAGCTTCATTTGCTGAAGGAACTGCACAACTTTTCATTACTAATTGGTACAAATTTTACGTTTCCATTGTATACTGGCAGTAAATGTTAAATATTTTTCATGTCTGAAGCTAAAAGTTGCATACCCCCCCACACTAGTGGTGATGTTACATTTGACCAAAAAGACGCTGGTGTTTTATCCCAGCAGTGGGTGGACCAGCATTTTAGCTTAAGGTCCGCGTAGGTAATATTCCTACAAATCTTAAAAAAAAAAAAAAAAGTTCGTTCAGATTTTGTCCAAATTATCCGAAATCCGGATTAAAGGGGTCCGAATTAACGAGGGTCGACTGTATTTTGTTTACGCGTTATACGCTGACCTCCATGGGTTTAATTGACTGCGTAAAACGAGACTATGCTGTAATTCCTATAGGGATTTCAGTACAACTCTCACTATGAATATTGCCTATTCAGAATATTTTGACTTGGAAGCTAGTTAGACCTCTCATGTCAGTTAGTTAAAAGGCAATAAGAGGGACTCCATAGACTTGCTACAGAGTTGCCCTAGAACAGTCCAAGGTTAGGAAAGCTAAATTCCCAATATACAGTAAAACCTCTATACACCAGACTTCAATATTTTTAAAAAAAAATTCTGGAAAATTCAGCACAAGTCCAGGTGGTTTATGTGTTCGTATATGCAGTTGAATGCCTGTGTGTGGGAGTTGCGTGGCACATGTTTCAGTCTGAGTCCTGCCCTCATATGTATCATATCAGTGAGCTGCATCTCACTACCTACATTACACTCTTTTACATGAACTTTTTATGTAGAGTACGTACTTATTATCTTTAACGGGGATATTTGAAGGTTTTAAGAAATGGTTAAAATTATGTAGACTACCTATTTTAAAAAATACAGGAGGTAAAATTAGAAAAATCTTATGAAGAGAACAACACTTTCTCACTGAATAATGTACCGTACATTGGTTTAATCAGATATGTTGTAGGCCTAATGAGAGTGAATGAACTACGCATGTAAACAGGCTGGGAGTAGCTAGGGGTGAGGGGGTGGGGGGGTAGACCAGGCATTTATTTATTTATTCCAAATTATATTCTCATATGATCAGCCATTTATGGTAAGTGATTCATCATGATTAATATAATATCTTCAATAATAAAAAAAATAATAAGTAATTTGTAATTTGGCTTAAAAATAGAAGGATAAGATGTATCAGAAGGTTTTCACTCAGGGTATGTTCCTGGAGAGAGAGAGCTTTGAGTACATCAGCTTAGAACAGGGTCACTATAACATAACAGTACTGTATAGTATTTGATATGGAGTTACCTTCCTAACAACATTATTTATTACCTTTGAGTAATATATGATGGCCCTATTTGGCTAATTGTATGCCTAGATCACTCACTGATTAATGAATAAACCAGAGAATATGCAGATGCACAATACACTACAGTACTATTTACTAAGTGCTGAAGACATTTGTTGTAGTAAGCATGAGAGATGGAGAGCAGTGGTGAGGGAGCTAGGATGATCAGCTGTTTGTGCTTTGTAAACAAATGATCAATAATTTAATACGATGCAATGACTCTTCTGGGGTTGAGTGTGGGATTCTTTTTTCAGGAAAGTTGACTACAGTAGAATCTCAATAAATAGGACTAATTGGGGCTGACGCCAGTCCGAAAAATGCAAAAGTCTGAAAAAAGCGAATA